GCTCTGGTGACCCATCCCTGGCTGGTCCTGTGGCCAGGGCTGGGATGCAGCTGCAGCTGCTGGGCTGCATTCCTCAGTGCCCCAGGCAGGAGCTCCTGATCTCTGCCCTGGCCAGGTACCTGCACAGCACACGGCCTCCACACCTGCATCTCCTCCTTTGGAGCCGTGCTCAATTCTGACCTGCCTCGAGAACCTCCTCCTGTTTGCCTGCAGGACTGGGACCTGCAGGAGGGAACAAGACAAGGTGGAGGTTGCTTTGGTTTCTTCACCCTGTAAACTCACTCCTGATGGAAAACTACACTTCACAGTTGTCTTTGTAATAGATAAAGTGCAAAGTCATTTATTCCAAGGAAGAAAATTAGATTAGGAATTAATTTGTTTGAAACGGAAAACAAATTAATCTCTTTACTTGAAAAAACAAAAAGGCAAATCTTATAAAGCAGGAATATAAGGATAAACTTTCAGGGTTTTTCATTAAGAATTTTTGAAGTCAGGAACTCATGCTGAGTCACTGTGATAAGATTTTGCAAGTAAAAATGCAGCATGAATGGGGTACAATGCACATGCAGAGTTGCAAGTTTTTTAATCCAAATGCTTTTTACTCATCACATGGTATTTTCAGAGATGAGAGGAACTCACATAACTATCTTGCACACAGTTCAGTCTCCTCAAATTTGTTCTCTTTTAAATGCAGTGAACTTTACAGTGAATTTTTCATACTTTCAAATAGAGAGGTAGATATAATTTTGTTTTGTCAACTAGGAAAAGGTACAGTTGTGTCCCTGTTTCAAGCGTTATTACTCAAATCACAGAAGGGAGCACATGACTGTACACTGACCTTCATCTGTTCCCAAATTATGCCTTTTAAAAGCCTTGAATCTGTTTAAGGGGAGCTGCTGAAACCTGAAACGAATGTGGTCTATTGCTTTATAAAGTAGATGAATGTAGAACTTAAGTATTACATTTCAGGCTCTTACTGTACTATATATAGCAAAATTAGGATGAGGGAGAATATAACTGTAACCTGAGTCTGGTTTTAGAGAATATTTTTTTGTTACAGGTATCGATGGTTACTCTGTAAAATTTAGTATGTTTCTATTTCTAACAGAAAATCACCACAAATTTGCAGAAGGAAAATGTTCTCCCAATTAAGACTTTCATTTTTAAAAGCTGAGTCCTTAAAAAAATTACCAGCTCTTCAGCCCACAAATCACACCCCCAGAAATTGCTACCCAGCTCTGACAGACCCAAGCCTAAAAAGAACCTTGAAGTACACCTTGTATCTAAATTTTCATTGCTTGCACTCTGCCTGATTTTCATCAGGATATGTTTAATAATGACCAATATATCATCTTGAGTATTAAAGGGAAAATTACACTTAATTAGAAAAGTAAGCAGTGTATAACTGCAGAAAGCATCTTTTGCTGTGTGCCTGACACAACAGGCCAAAATTATGCAACTCTTAGGAGCAACATCTTAATAAACTTTTTCAATAATTACAGTGGAGAAGAAGTAGTCAGGGATTTTTACTTCACTCATTTTTAGTAAACTTCATTGTCGTTTCTAATGACATACTAAAACCTTCCAATGAGCTCTGATAATGTTCATCTGCATGTTTCAAAGAAAGATTAACTTAAATCTAACTCCACAGGATAAGAACAATAGTAAGATCACTATTTTTCAATAGAAAAATGGCTTAGAAATTGACAAACTTCTTGACAAGTTTACAAATTTTTGACAGTTTTCAGATGGGAATTGTAACACTCATTATGCATTTAATGTGCTTGTAAAATCATAGAAACCTTCGGGACGTAAATAATTTTTGGAAATCATCTGATCCAATCTCCTATTAAAAGTCACTATAACTCTAAGTTAGGCCTGATTTCTCAGAGCCTTGTCCAGTCACGGTTTGGATTTCTTTAACGATGGATATTCTGGGCAAAGAATTCCAGGACCAAACTACCGTCCATAGGTATATCCTTGTGTCATGGATCTTCCTTCTGTTAGAATTTAAACCTAAATATGGTAAGAAATGCTGCTTCTTTTGTCTATGCTGACACACAGTTGACTTTTGACAGCACAGGTTCCGAAGGTTTGCCTTAACGCAGTTTATTGTGTGACAAGTAATAAATTGCACATAACTATTTTTGTCTTTAAGTGGCAGGGAGGGATTGGGAATAAGCAATTATTTGTTCAACATAAATTACAGCAGTGACTTCAGGACTGATGTCTAGTTCTGAATGATCCTGATCTCAAGAAATCCCATGAACCACACACTGTAGACTCATGCCCAGATGTGCAAATAACTAAAGAAAAGAAAAGAAACAAAAGGAAAAAAGGAAAAGTAATACCAATTCTGCTATTTTACCTTATGCTAGAGTTACACCACCAGACTACATATGGTTAAATGATCTTGCCCCACTGCAACATATAGTGAGATTTTAAAAGATGACTCACATCTAAAGCAAATGAAGTGACTACTGCAGCCCTTGTGTTTTTGTCTTTGTATAATTTAATCAGCTGTTCATCTGAACAGTTGGAAAGGATACATTTATACAACAATAACTTCATCTCTCTTGGTAGATATTTCCCTGTATCTTCTGATACAAATCTACTAAATATTGGCTTATATTGACCTAATCTGAAATGAGACAGAACACTGGGGTCCCAAAGGAACCCAGCACACAAGCTCTCAGTTCACTACCATGCAGCAAGGAAGTCAGTCTTAAGCGTGTTTACTCGTGCTGCTGAAAGAGGATGGCAAATAAAGACATGGGTTAGGCACAATGTCAGGTTTTATATGATTACACAGTTGTTTTTTTAATTCATCATCACTAAATTCATAATACATATCAATTCCATGTAAATATATAATATATACATGTGTTCTTTACAGATCTTTACAGAACATGCTCAGCTCAGGTAAACAGCCCTATTACAGCCACTTGGAGCATTTAACAGTCTTACAGCACTTCCCTAAGTAGTAAGCTATGAATACTTATGAAAAAGTATTATGGAAAAGGGATCTCAATTCTGGAAAACATCTACAATCTTTTTCAAGCAGACATACACACCAGGAAATCCTGACCAACAGAACTGTGTCCCAGAAACCTTTCCTCTCCTCTCCTTCAATATTTGTCTTTCATTGACAGTAATGAACCTGTAAGAGCTCTCTCAGCATGAAGTTCTTTATAATCTTCAGGAACTAGTTAACATGACTTTTCCATATAATAAGCATCACAGCTATTAAAATACATCAAAATGTAGGGCTTTAAAGTATTACAAGGGATTTTGAATCTGACTAATGTATTGGGTAATAATTGCCTTCCTATCCACAAAAAAAAAAAAATTATGTAAACCCATGGATTTCCTATGCAGGAAGTTCACATTACTACCTTTGGTGTCAGAAGCTGCAATGAATTTCCTTGTGAAAGAGTGTTAGACATTCTGCAGTTCAACAGTAGTCACTAATAAGTTGGGGTGGCAGCTGTTGTGCATCTGAAGCTAACAAATGTTATGTGACCAGAGATGACTGGCATGACATGTGGCCGTAGCCTTTTTATAAAGTTATGTTCTCAACTATTTTAAAAATGTCCACAAAAGTCCTTCGGAAATACTGTTCCCAAGAAGTTCATGGAAAACTGATCCTTTAATACTTACCCCACTCAGTTAGTTGCATATATTCACACATTATCACAGAGTGATAAACTGAAGTTTAAACAAAAATAGTCATATAAATTCATCTGGAAGTCATGTTCTCAGCACTGTGACTTGAGGCTGGATTCACTTGCTTGAATGGGAATATATTAAATTTCCAGCAATCAATTATCATTTCAGCCTTTGTATCTGCCATCATAAATTCAGGCACATGCCCATATGGACAGACAAAGTGCAAAGACAGAACTGTCTTCCAGGCAAATTCCAAAAGCAAGTGTGAAGTTCAGTATTGAAATATCACTCCCTTTTCTGTCCTCATTCTCAAGCAGTAGGAGCATTTTTAATCCAACTAATACTTTCCCAATTCTCCTGAAAATTTTACCCTCATAATTTTATATAGATAAAAAGTGTTGCCAGAATTTTATATCCCTCCCAGGCACCCACATGCATGTAAAGACTCATGCCACAAAAAGACTCATGTAAGGACTCAGAGAGCTCCAACAGAGAAGGATTTCCCAAAATGCAATTGATTTGAGTTATTTAAAGCACACAAAAAACACATCTCTTGATGTGGTTCTGGTTATGATACAATTTATTTTAATGTTTTGCTACATTTTTTACATTTAATAGATTTAGAAAAGCTTTTTCTTGGAAAAAGTTGTTACCCTTGCTTTTTATTTTTATCTTCTAGTCCCTGAATTTTCAGCAAACAGATGAAATATTAATACTTTTTCAAAGACATATAAATATTTTAGTTTTTAATAACACTGAGACTTGGTCTGTTTTATATACACCTTATTTGTTATAATCTTGTATGAACTGATCTTTGAAGTCAGGAGTTAATTGCTTTTCTCCTCTGATCAGAGAAATACATTTGGAAAGACTGAAGAAACTCCTTCCTCCAAGTAATAAATTCCCACTCAAAAAAGAGGATTTCATACAATCCAAACATCCAGAGGACAGGAATTGGCCCATCTTGAGAAAATCAGCCATTTTATGTCTGATTTTAACCATTAAAATGTACAATAACGTGTTAATAATGTGTTAATAATTTAATGTGTAAATAATGTGTACAATAATGTGTTAATGTACAATTATGTGTTAAAACTCTAATATTGGAACAGTCAAGCACAGACAAAACATAATAAACCACAAGGAGATTTTTAAATTTCTGTTAATTCAATCTTAAACAGTAGAGAACCACCTGCAAGTATTACACAAGAAGTGAGACTTGAAGAGGTAATTGGAGGAAAGAAAATATCAGTAACACTTGACCAATGAAAGAGAATACAGTATGAAATACAACATGAAGACAATTGGAAATAATGAGATGCCATCGTTACCTGTCATGTGTCCTCATAAAATCCCAGAACTTCTTAGTGCCATTCTGGAGGGGAAAAAAATTAAAAATCAATCAATTTAAATCCAATTGAAAAATTACTATAATGAAATTTAACAAAACTTATGAGGCATTTCTTTGAAAACTCAGTACAGTTAGTTTTATTTATGAGGCCAGTAGTCTGGATTCTGACAGTTAGTATTGCAAACACTGAGAACTGTCTCAGGACAGTTCAAAATCTTAGACCTACAATAATATGATGACAGCTAGCAGACATTCATTGCAGCCTTCAGGCCCAGTTTTGGCCACAGCACCAACTTCAGCTGCTCAATTTAACCATTCACAGCGCCAGCAAGCCATAAACAGCTCTGTTTTAACCAGTAGGATAACCCACAGGTATGTTCTTCCATGTCCAGAAATGCTCTTACCTGGAGAACAGCTCAGCACTTACCTCCTAACTAAACCCATGTGGGATCCAGGAACAGGACACCTTCCCTCTAACCCCTTACAAGGTCCAAAATAAGAGTTTTATCCACACCTAATATGAAGGGTGTCACACTCCATTCTACACAGCAGCTGCTCCTCTGCACTGCTGGTGGTGCTGAGGGCACTGTCTCACAGCAGGCTTGAAATCACAGCACTCAAGAGCTGGGAGACATTAAATGGCTGATTTTCTCAAGATGGGCCAATTCCTGTCCTCTGCCAGCTTAAAAGGAACAATATCCACTACAGCTGACAGTGATCTCTGAAAACAAGTGTTCTTTCACAATTATAATGAACACCTATACCTTACTTACATTTATATTATACTTTATATAGTTATTGTATACCTTGTATAGCAATTCATACACATCAGTTAATGGAGATGCATATAATTCTTTATTCTGTTTACTGGAAGTGTGATGGTGTTTTTCAGCTCAAATACAACTCAAGAATTTTCAGTCCCAGGTCAGTTTTAAGTCTGTGTTAGGAATCAGTATGAAGCCAGAGGAAATTCTTGTGGTTGATACCTTTTTCTTATAAGCAACACAAAAACGAGACCTGCTGAAGACCTACATACCTAAAATATGCTTAATGTGAAAAGCAGCACTTGACTTCTATTATAAAGTATGGTTAAATGGATGATCAAACCCTGAGCAACTGGTTAATGATTTAAAGCAGGTAAATGTGAGCAATGAGAGAAGAATCAAGTTCAGTTGGTGGGTAAAGGTGCCAACCAATATAGACAGGCCCTTCAGCTCTATTACAGATGTCATGGCTACCAAGTACACAACAGCTGGTGGGGATTAGATAACAAGCACTCTGGTTCAGAGATTAAGCCCCTGAGCTTTATGAGTTTACCAAGCTTTTTGGAAGAGGGGCTGTTTGCTTGCTAGCTGGGTTTTCCTTCATTCCCACAACTCTAATTATAAACAGTTGTTCACCTCAAGAGAAACTCTAATCCGTGCTTCCATTGGTGTGTGCACATACCTTCTGTTAGCACTGACAGGAATCCAACGTGTGCATTACAGGAGAAGTCCTGTCATTGTTTAAATGCAGTGTAATGTTGAAAGGGAAATAAAGACAGCAAATTCTTACTGTGAACTGAAATACTAAAGCCATTGCTTCCAAATCTGAGTGTATATCCAATTCATTCCACCTGCTGACAGACAGAGGAACAACTTTGATAGGACTATGATAAAATACACAGCTGCAACATGGGCTGTGTTTTATGGTAAGATAATTTAAGGTATTAAACGTGCAAGGTCAGCTCAATCTTTCTGTAGGTTTGTTTCTACCTGTATTTGTGGGATTTGTTACCAGATTGCTGAGCAATTTTTCCATTTAACACAAAAGAATTGGAAAACTTTGTAGCAAGTTACAATATGTAACTTCATATTGTTTCTCTAGTTTCAACCTTCTCCTGCCCCAAATCATAAGCTGGTGCTACCATCATCCATTCTCCCTTTGTAGTGTTCACTTTGGAGAAGTGTGGGTGTCCAGCTGCTGGAGATGCCAAAAAACCCCCTGAATTAAGTCTCTCCTTGCATTAATTTAGACTATTAGTCCTGTGATACTGGATTCTAACACGCAATCCCACCAACAACCTTTGTAGCTCTTTCCTCTTGCCATCATTTTGCAAATTATAGAAGCTGATTGCTTTGGAGCACTTATGAGAGGGTTTCAAATAGCTGAGGAAAATTACACCCTAGAGAATCATCCTCATACAGATGGGATCCATCAGAACTGAATGACCTCTTCCCAAGGATGAGCCCTGTTACCATTAGCAGAGCCTACCTCACAGACGTGCACATGATTTTTAGCAGAAAGTAAAGAAGGAACTCTTCTTTTACCTAAAAAGAAGAGTACTTAAAAACAAATTAATCAGAAAATAAAATCTGCATTTTCTATTTTCTACGCCCAGGTAAAGCACTTTCTCTAGAACATAATTTCATTAGTCTAAGACCCAAATTCAAAACCAGCTACAGGCTAAATTATTTTGAGTCAAGACATCAGTTAGTATCACATACTCTGACTGGACAATGCTTACTAAGAGATTTTTTGCCTATATTTGAATTAAAAAATATTTACATATGATCAAGTTGCACCTGTCCAAATAAATAAATCAATAAACAAATGAAACATTCCAACATCTCTTTGTTTACAGTGGCAGAAACTCAAATGAGCCCCATTCATGCCCTATTGTCGAAGTCAGATGTAATTTGAACCCAACCGAATGGAGTTGAGTTTCTATTGTACCCAATGCCTGGTTCTTTCCTAACAGACTGGTAGGAAGGTTGCTAATTATTAATAGCATGTAAACAGTTACCAATGGTTCTTATGCTGCTTTACATACTTTACAGAACATTAATTCCAGCCAGCTTCTAACCAACTATATCAAGCTCCATGTAGTATCTCTATCTTATCTTTGGGACAAAAGTATTGCTGAACTGATCAAGATTCATGCTTTTAACAGCCAAGTGGCTATGATTATTTGTTAAACTGTTCCACTCTATATATCCTGATCTTTGACACAGCTCTGCTATCACCACAGTTACAGACAGCTGAAATATTAAAGGTATCAGTGGTCAACATCATTTCTGAAAAAGAGAAGTATCTTTGTGAAACACAAAGGCTCTCTCAAACCCTTAACATTTTTCATTTTAATAGGCATATGTAATTGCATTATTACAAGTAGTTTATTCTCCAGTGTCTAATAAGGTACAATCACAGTATCTCTCAATGCAGTGAGAACTGAGTATAACAGATTATAAACATTGATGACAGGAAGGAGAAAGAATTATTTCATAACATTTGAGAAAGATTTTAAAAATTATTCTTCAAACAGGAAATGTGTCCTGTGATGTTTATGAAGATAAATATGTCAGAAATATTTTACACTAGTTTTAATCTGTTCAGAATAGCAGTTCTGATACTGCAACAACCTCGTGTAACACATAATCGATTTAGTAAATCTTTAATCACAAAGTAATCACACTCTAGTTCTGTGCTCAGTGATCAGGTTCTGTGATGTTGCAACAGTCAACTAGTGCATATAGTATGTGTAAATTAATAAAGCTGTATTCCAGGAGAGGCAGCATGTGAGACAACCTCGTTTCACATTACACAGAAGACAGATCACTTACATAAGTACTAATTGCATAAGAAAGCCATACCAGGTCAGACGAGATGTCCATCTTGCCTGGCAACCTGTCTCTAAAATTTAAGAACAGAGAAAGCACACAGCAATGCTTCCCCAGAACACTCTTCCAAGTCTGGCAAAACGCACCAAAGGCTGGCAAAAGACAGTGCCTCAAAAAGGCCCCCAAATAAAACACAGCCCTCCCTCAACTCTAGAAAGCAAGCACAAACAGCCATTTCAGCACTACCTGAGTTTGCAAAGTGTGTCACAAGACCATATTGTCTGTAAGACTGACTTGGTAATGGCATTGGTAAGTTAATCAGAATGAACAGCAGCTCACTCCCAGCTTGACAGTCTGCACAAGGAGACTCACTGCCTTCTGGTTCAAGTGACTGCAGGACAACCAGGCACTGCCAAGTGCTCTCTGCTAGACAAGTGCTGACAGTGGCTGCAAGTTTAGCAGATGGGACTCCTACCTATGCAGAGCTGTTTATATCACCCATCCTTGATCTTCACATTCTCTGTCCTGCTACCATTCTCCATCTTCATGTTCTCTGTCCTGCTACCATCCTTGAAATAATTTTCTTCAGACTCTTCCCGCAGCAGGTCAGTGCCATAATAACAGGCAGGAGTCTCTTCACACTATCTGTAATGGGTAAGTTGGACTTGTCTGCAGCCCATCAAAATACCGCTCTTTTTACCACATGCCCTCTACCTAAAATGCCTTAAGAATCACTGTGCCAGGGATATTGCTGTCCTTTGCTTTTGTCCACCACCTGAGGCGATAAAATATCTGAGCAGCAAGGTCAAACCACTGCCAGAATACCTAGAGGATAACTCTTGCTTGCTAGAGGAACTTGCCTAAGACTTAGCCCAGGCAGGCCACTAAAGAGGAAAGAAAGGACTTGCTGTGCTAATGATGCAAAAAGAAACATTCAGTGGTACTGACTGTAGGGTGATACTGGGTATGCTCCACATGTGACAGACCCTGGACATGCTCTGACACAAGTCACTGGAAGTTTCTACTCTTCACTTGGGGCAGCTTCAATGCCTTCCTCCTCCTTTTCCCTGAGGGCAGTGCCCATGCACTGTCTGCCACCTGAGAAGAACCAGCTCTTGAAGCAGCTCTTACATGAGGTTATGCGTCAGCACAGGTAGCAGTGCTCACCACTGTTAGACTGACACTATGCTGGGCTTTCAAAATACCTTCAACTCAAACAAACCAATCCCTTCAGTCTTGCTGTGGTGTACAGCTCTCCAGAGACTCACAATTTCTCTGCAGATGCAGCTTTTTCAAATTGAAGGAATAAGTACTTAAACACAATTTTAGAGAGAGAGGTGTAGGCCTTTCCTCAAGGATCATTCCAAGAATCTTCCCAAAGAATGAGATCCTTTTCGTAAGTAATTTAACTGAATTAGAGCCGTG